TATGGCCCCATAGTTTTTACTATTTCAATTGTACTTTTCATGAAAAAAAAAATTTGTGCCGATTTTTTGATTTTATTTGCATTTGTTAAGAAACGACATCGTTCTGACGCAGAGGTCAACCAACGCCCTTGTAAGACCTTACAAGGACCTTCATTTACTGTAAAAGAGTGGAACGAAGTAAAAGTTGGAGACATTGTTCGTATAGAAGGAGGAGAATTTTTCCCTGCCGATTTAATTTTGCTCAGTAGTTCCGAACCCGAAGGATTATGTTACATAGAAACAAGCAATTTGGACGGGTTAGTTTAACCTAATATATATATTTTTCATTCAAGGTGCAAACTTAATCCATCTTGATCACAGTATCTTTGTTTCCACGCAAAGTTTCTAGTGTTATTTTTTTTTTTTTTTGTTAAAAAAAATATTGCGACGATGATATTTTATTCCTTATATTCCTCAGAAATGACTTATTAATATTTTCCTATAACATATTCCTAAATTTTTTTGTTTTTAGCGAAACCAACTTGAAAATTAAACAAGGATCTAGCGAAACATCAAATTTGATTTCACCTAAAGAAATAAGCCATTTAAACGGTAAGATATCTTTATAACTTCGAATTATTTTATTATTTTGAATAATATAAAACATTTAACTGATATCATTAAATTATGAATCAATAGGTTTTATTAAATCCGAAAATCCAAATAATAGTTTATATACATATGATGGTTTTCTCGTGATGAATGGACCAAATGGTCAAAAGAAAGTCCCTTTAGATCCTACACAGTTATTACTTCGGGTTAGTTTAGTTCAACTACATCATATATTATATATTTTTGAAATATTGTTTTTAAAAAATTTTTCTTTGATCAGGGAGCACAATTAAGGAACACACAATGGATTTATGGCATTGTTATTTTTACTGGTCATGAAACCAAATTGATGAGAAATGCTAGGTACAAAATTTTTAAATGTATTTTTTTTTAATTTAATATCTTATTAATGATGGCTTGTCTCATAATCAGTGCAACTCCCATTAAAAGAACTAGTGTTGAGAAAATGGTTAATATTCAAATTATTTTCTTATTTGGTATTTTGTTGACAATGAGTTTGGCATGTTCTGTTGGAAACTTCGTAAGATCTGTAAGTACTTTTAATTTTATAACTTATAATGATCTTACTTAGTATTCCTAATGGATTTTTTATTTGTTTGATTATTAGGTGAAATATGAAAATGAAATGACATATCTTAGTCTTTTTAGTTCTAATAAGAATCTTTTTAGTCAATTTGGATTCAACATTTTAACTTTTTTGATTTTGTTTAATAATTTAATTCCTATAAGGTTTGATATTTGATATTATATTTTTTACTACATTGTGATATTTAAATTCCGAGATGAAATTTTAATGGTTTAAACTTTTTGTAGTTTAATCGTTACTATGGAAGTTGTAAAATTTCAACAAGCAGCATTAATTAATTCAGACTTGGATATGTATTATGAAAAGACCGATACTCCAGCTTTGTGTAGAACTAGTAGTTTAGTCGAAGAATTGGGACAAGTGCGTTGTTTTATTTAAATTTGTTATAATATTCTTTAATCGGTTTATTAATCATAAGTATTTCTTATTCTCTAGATTGAATATATTTTTTCTGATAAAACTGGCACACTCACATGCAACGAAATGGAATTTAAGCAATGTTCTATTGCCGGTGTAGCGTATGCGGATGTAGTTGAAGAATCCAAACGTGCTCGAGTGATTGATGGTGTAGAAGTTGGCTTTCACGACTTCAAGAAACTAAGATTGAATTTAAAAGACCATAAAACTGCCAATGTCATTAATGAATTCTTGACCCTTTTAGCGGTGTGTCATACTGTTATACCTGAAAAAAATGAGAAAAATCCTAATGGTGAAAATTCAAAAACATTTATTTAATTGACTTACAGCAAACAATTAATTGTGTTGACAAATTCTTTTTTTTATTTTATTTTATTTTTTTATGAAGATATTATATATCAGGCTTCTTCACCCGACGAAAGTGCTCTCGTAAAAGGCGCTCAGATCCTTGGTTATACATTCACGGTATTTACATAGATTATATATTTAAATTCTGAAAAAAAAACAAAAAAAAAATTTAATCATCTTTTCTCTTTTCAGACACGTCGTCCAAAATCAGTGACAATAGATGTTAATGGGGAAGAACAAGAATATGTAATTTTAAACATTTGTGAATTTAATAGTACACGCAAACGTATGTCAACAATTGTCCGCAGTCCTGACGGAAAGATAAAGTTATATTGTAAAGGAGCAGATACAGTAATTTTAGAACGTTTAAGTGAGAATAATCCTTTTACTGAATCAACCTTACAACATCTTGAAGAATATGCTACCGAAGGTCTTAGAACACTTTGTATAGCTATGCGTGAGGTTTCTGAAGAAGAATACAGAGTTTGGGCTGGTGTTTACGAAAAAGCTTCTACAACTTTAACGAACCGTTCAGAAGAGCTTGATAAAGCTGCCGAAATGATTGAAAAGGATCTTTTTCTTTTAGGTGCAACTGCTATTGAGGACAAATTACAAGATGGTGTACCAGAAACAATTCATACCCTTCAACAAGCCGGCATAAAAATTTGGGTACTTACCGGTGACAGACAAGAAACTGCAATCAATATTGGTCTTAGTTGCAAATTAATTCAAGAAGAAATGTCTTTAATTATTGTTAATGAGGAAAGTCATTGGGAGACGAAAGAATGTTTGGAGAATAAAGTTCAATCGATGAAAGGTCGTGTCAACCCTGAAGCGGAGGTAAAAAACTTCATTGAATAATTCGAAGTGATTATATGAGAATAAAAAAAAATTTTTTATCTAATTCTAGTTTTTTTTTATATAATACTTTAGCCACTCGCACTTATTATTGATGGTCGCACACTTGAATTTGCGCTTGAAAAAGACCTTGAGAAAACTTTCCTTGAACTTGCAACTATATGTAAAGCTGTGATATGTTGCCGTGTTTCACCACTCCAAAAAGCTCTTGTTGTAAAGCTCGTGAAACGTCACTTGAAAACTATTCTTCTTGCAATTGGCGATGGTGCAAATGACGTTTCCATGATTCAAGCAGCTCATGTTGGTGTTGGCATTAGTGGCCTTGAAGGGATGCAAGCAGCTCGTAGTGCCGATGTTGCCATTAGCCAGTTCAGATTTCTGAAAAAACTTTTGCTGGTGCATGGAGCTTGGAGTTATCAACGATTGAGCAAACTTATTTTATATTCTTTCTATAAAAATATAACGTTATATATGACACAATTTTGGGTAAGTTAACGTTAATGTTTTAACATAGTCATGATCTGATATTCTAATGCATTTAAGAAGATTTATAAATATTCGAAAAACGTACGCTTCTCAACAATAGTACACTTTCCGAAATGGATTCTCTGGCCAAGTTATTTACGAATCCTGGACGATTACATATTACAATGTACTCTTCACTGTGTTGCCGCCAATCGTGATTGGAGTATTTGATCAGTACGTTAGTGCAAGGATGTTGGATCGTTATCCACAAATGTACATGCTGGGTCAAAAAAGCGAATTCGTAAGTATAATTAAGTTTTTATTTTAAAAAATATTTCAACTTCTTTTTACCAGACCTTTATTATCATTATGATTTAGTTTAACGTCAAAAATTTCTGGGGGTGGACAGCAAATGCTTTTTATCATTCTTTGGTAAGATTTTGTAATTTCGCTACAATTACATTTATAATATGAACAATTTTTAATAATTGTTTATTTTAGATTTTATATTTTGCATCAATATATATTTTCGGTCAAGACTTAATATTATCAGATGGTAGATTGGCGGGCCATTGGACATGGGGAACAACTTTGTACACGGCAGTTTTAGCAACGGTTTTAGGAAAGGCTGCTTTGATAACAGAGTATGATAATATTTTAATTACGAATAAATTTGTTAATAACAATCATAATTATTAATATCACATTTTGCACAATTATTATAGTTTATGGACAAAGTACACTTATCTTGCGATTCCGGGATCATTTATTTTCTGGCTGGTTTTCATCGTAATATATGGATTAATTGCTCCAAAGATAGGAATTTCGGTAGAATATGAAGGCATAGTTGGAATACTATTTACAAGTCCCGTGTTTTATGCCACTATACTTCTAATACCAACCATTTGTCTCTTAAGAGATTTTGTCTGGAAATAGTAAGTTATATTAATATATATAATTTCAACATCGGGACTTCATTAATTAATTTATCTCCGTTTTTTTTTAATAGTATTAAACGTATGTACAAATCACGTACATATCATACAGTGCAAGAAATTCAAAAATTCAATATTCCCGATTATCGACCTCGTATGGAACAGTTCCAAAAGGCAATACGAAAAGTACGTGCCGTACAAAGGTTACGAAAAAGTCGTGGTTTTGCCTTTTCGCAAAGCGAATCTGGTCAAGAAGCTCAACTCATCAGAATATACGATACCACTTTGGCAAAACCAAAAGGTTAAATTTTATTTGTATTTGTTAATATTTATAAACTCGGTTAAAATTATGGTTTTATGGGGGTTTATTATAAAAATTATATATTAATTAGTAGATTTTTTTTTGAAAAAAAAAATTATTTCAGATTATTGTATAATAATACATGCGTTTTATGTTTAATTGCGTTACATCCTTTCTTATCATCGCCTTGTATTACATTTCCACTTCTTCACTTTCTTTTATATATACTATATTTTTTTTTATTTTATTATGTAAAGTAGTTTTGGTGAAAATTTATTACTTAATTTATTTATATAAAAGTATTTTTTTAAAAAAAAAGACCAAAAAAACCGTTATATTATTCGATCCGCAGTATTAGCCATTGATGAAGTGATACAGTGTCAGTCACAATGACGGGCGACGTGTAAATTGATTGCTAAGCCAGAAATAAACGTATATTTATAAAGCTATTTTGTTTTCAACTTTCTAAATATTTAAAATGGAAGAAGATTTGGAATCACTTAAACGAAAAATTAAAGAAAAAGGTGATACTGTCCGAGCTTTGAAAGCACAAAAGGCTGATAAATCTTTTGTGGATGTAGAGGTTGCTGCTTTATTGAAACTTAAAAACCAATTGACTTGTATCACTGGGGAAGACGGTAGTAGCAAGAGTAAAACTAAACTCACGCTAAAAACACCAAAGGTAAGTAAATGTTGTTGCAATATAATTTCTTCTTCGGAATTATTATAGGGTCTTTCAAGTCGAACAATTTTTACAATTTTTTTTTGAAATCTGATAACAGGGAACGCGTGACTATAATGAAAAAGAAATGGCCATTCGTGAAAAGGTCTTTTCGACTATTATTTCTGTATTTAAAAGACATGGTGGTGTCACTATAGATACTCCAGTATTTGAATTGAAAGAAATTCTTGCTGGAAAATATGGAGAAGAAAGCAAACTCATTTATGATCTTGAAGATCAAGGTGGTGAGAAATGTTCATTAAGATATGATCTGACTGTAAGTTTCTTTGTAATTCTCTGGATTGCATCCTCTTTGATATAATTACTCACGAAAAATTTTATAATCAGTAATTCATTCGATTTTTTATTGAAGGTGCCATTTGCGAGATTTTTGGCTATGAATGGAACGCAATATCAAAATATCAAGCGGTATCAAATTGCTAAAGTTTATCGAAGGGATCAACCAGCCATGACTAAAGGACGCATGCGAGAATTTCATCAATGCGTAATTTTTAATTGTTATTTTTTAATGTTTATTATTTCCCATTGTTTAAAATTCATTTTTTTTTTTTTTTTAAAAAAAAAAACCAGGATTTTGATGTTGCCGGCTCTTACGATCCTATGGTACCTGATTCCGAGGTTATCAAAATTATGTGCGAATGTTTGACCGAACTTGAAATTGGAACATTTATCATAAAGGTAAATTACTCATTTATTCGTTTATTTCTTTTTATTATTATGGTATTGTTAATAATAAATTTTTTTTTTTTTAGATTAACCACCGTAAAATTTTGGATGGAATCTTTGAAGTATGTGGTGTACCAGAGGAAAAGATCAGACCCATATCTTCAGCTGTTGATAAATTAGACAAGGTAAATTTAAATTGTAAATACCTTTTTATGTATATCAACTTACAAATGACTAATATATAATGAATTTATTAGACACCTTGGGAAGATGTCAGAAAGGAAATGACAGAGGAGAAAGGTTTAGATCCTATCGTTGCTGATCATATAGGAGAATACGTTAAATTTAAAGGTGGAAAGATTATTAATTGTTTAAGAAATTTCATTACATCCGTGAATTAACAAAATAATTTTTTTTTACAGGTGGTAAAGAATTATTGGAAAGATTGTTCCAAGATCAAAAATTACTCGCTAATGCAAATGCTAAAGCCGGTTTGAATGAAATGATCCTCCTTTTCCAATATTTAGAAGTTTTTGGAGTTCTGGACAAGGTATTTACAAGACAATTATAATGCTTGTTCCTTTCACGATTGATTCAGATCGTTAATAATCTATTATTGATTTCTCCAAAGATTTCATTTGACCTTAGTCTTGCTAGAGGTTTAGATTATTATACGGGAATTATTTACGAAGCCGTCACTGAACTTTCCGGTCCTCCAAGTAAGACAAGAGACTTTTTTTGGCTCCTTTTTTCTAAGAAGCATCAATTTTATAATACATCATCAATTGTGTAGCGCTCGAGGATGGCACCAAGGTTAAGAGAAAAACAAAGAAAGGCACAGACGAGTTTGATGAAACAACTGTTGGTGTAGGATCTATTGCAGCGGGAGGTCGTTATGATAATCTTGTTGGCATGTTCGCGAATAGTAAAAAAGGCAATATTCCTTGTGTTGGAGTTTCCATTGGTGTAGAACGAGTGTTTTCTATTTTATTACAAAAATATCAACTTGAACAAGTTAAATCAAATGAGGTGGAGGTTTATGTTATAGCAGTGGCTGATGGTTTATTAGAAGATCGTATGAAAATATGTGCCGAGTTATGGAATGCTGGCATAAAGGTTGGTTTGAACAGCCTTTTTTTTTTTTTTTTTATTTTATTTTATTTTATTTTTTTATTTATTCATTTATTTTATCTTCAGGCTGAATTTATGTATAAAATAAAACCAAAATTACAACCTCAATTTTCGGTGTGTGACCGTGATCAAATTCCATTCGCTGTAATTATCGGAAAAGATGAATTAAATTGCGGTCAAGTTAAAATTAAAGACATGAGATCTAAAGAACAAGGTGGAGGTGCGGGTACTTCTGTAAAAAGAAGTGATATGATCGCGGAATTAAAAAATCGATTAGGAAAATTATAGATTAAAAAGAAGATACCAGGTCATCATTGTATATAGGACTTTGGAATATGGCATTAGAAGTAATAAATTCAGTACAAGATTTAAGTCTTTTTTAACTTATCATAGATTTATATAATTTATAATAACAAAAAAATTTCCTTTTCAAAGGAATAATTGACAAAAATGAACAATAAATAAAATAATATTCCTTTTGGATAATGTTCCGGTGTTAGTACTACTACTACCCTATATTATATATATATAGAAAAGGATTATCAAATCTAAAAAAAAAATAAGACTAAGAATTTTACAATTATCTAATTTTCTTTAATGTATGAGTTGTTCCGACGATACGATTGTCCAAAGCGTTGGTCTTGTCGGAAACACGATCCAAAACACTGTTTTGCTTCTTTATTTCTTCCCCAGACGCGACAGCCTAAATGAAACAGGTTTAAGATAAGCTTTTGTTTTTAATCTTGAAGATTTTAGGTAACGTTAACATACCATGGAGTTTAATCTAGTTAAACCGGATGAAAGTGCATCTAAATTTCTATCTAAATGATCTTCAATTTGATTATCTTCATCGTCAGCTTCAAATTGAAATTTACTTCTAGACGATTGTGAGGACTTTCCAGATTGATAACCAGATGGTTGTTGTCCATGCTTCATAGCTTCATTAATCCTTTGTTGTGATTCCCAATTACCGGCTCTCATTTGTTCACGACTAGCTCTTTGCTCATCTTGCATAGCTTGAACGCGTGCCAATTCAGCAGCTTCGCGTTTCTTTTTGTTGAATGGATTGCTTACGTCAAAACCAAACATGGAACCATTAACCTAAATATAGAATCAATTAGTATACGAAAATCTTTTTCGTGTTCAACTTTTAACTAACTTTTTTAAGTTTAGCTGCTTGGTCTGCTGCGCGCTCAGCATGTGCATCAGCAAGATCCAATTGTCGTTCAGTATAATTGATACGTTCTTAAATATTAAAAAGGAATTGATTTAAATGAACTTTTTATTCAACAAAATGTCTAAAACATAACATAATTTAATCATTATACTTACGACTTTGTTCACCAAGCTTGTTTAGAGTGCTTTGCGCTGATTTCTCAGCTTGTTCGATCATCTGTAAAGATTTCAAAGTCGAATTTAAAGATTCTTGCTTAACGCTGTGAATCTGAGACTTGATTTCTTCAACATCTTCCTCGTTCTCTTGTTGTTGACCATATGGTGCACCATAACCATAAGGTTGTTGTTGATTACTATAAGGCGGTGGTGGATACCCTGAAGGTGGTGGTTGTTGGTAACCACCATAAGGAGGTGCTCCACCACCTTGATTATTAGAAGCACCTTGAAAAAGTTCCTTTCTAGAATTATCGTTTCCTTCTTTACGGTAACGGCGGTAATCGTCCATGTTTTGGTAAGATTTCCAAAAAGTACAATTTTGTGTGAAAATTTAAAGATACCAAGTTTATATATAATCTTGATTCTCTGCTGGATTTAGCAACCACCAACCAATTGTGGCGTTTAAATCATTCCTAAATATGGAAACGTCGGAGTTACAACGACAGTCGCAAAATATTGTACATGAAACAATACATTTTGCGCATTGATATTTTGTTGTCACGCGGTGTGACATGAAATTAATATTTACTTGTACCTAATTTAAACTAGTTCTTTATATAGTTAGTAAATTATTTTCATGGGATGTGAATAATAATCATCATTTGTAAAAGATATATGTTTTTAACAAGTCGGCCGTAGTTCAATATAGGCTGGTTTTTTTTTTTAGTATAAAGAAACCCATCTGAATGACCAAACAATCTTCACTTTTTCACTTTCCCACAGTAAATCTCTTTCTTACCGTTATACTTTTCCCCTAAATCACACCAAAAAAAAAAAATATTCATCATAAACTATTACCTCACATCATAAAATGGATAGAATTGACATGAGTTTGGATGACATCATTAAGGACAATAAAAAGAAGTCAAAGCAGTCAGCAAAGGGAAATAATGCAAATGGCAACAACGTCAAGACCAATAATGGTAGTAATTTAAATACGAGTAATAAAAGCAGAACAGGACCTATCCGTGCTAGATCAGCGGGTAAAAAGTTGACTCGACAGAAGGCCAGCCCATATCCGGTAAGAATCCAAACAGCTCCGTAAGAGAAACGCTGGGAAATACTAGTTGATCTCAAATGATCGATAAAATGTTCAAAACAAAACAATACAAAAAGAAAAAAATTGCCCTTTTCCAGAAGAATATGGCGAAACTTTTTGTATGGTCTTCGGGTACTTTCCCTGCGGGTTTCTGACTTTTTGGAGATAATAATAATAAAAAAAATAATAATACGACATCCCGATTGCGAGACTGATCAATTCCTGTAACGGCTGTTTTGATATCCTGCAACCTTCAACATTTTCAGAAACCTAAAACTCTAAAGACAGGAAATCCGAACGGTGTTTGGCGTCACGACCTTTTTTCCTCTCTTAACTCTGGTGGACAAACTAAGCGACCTGCTCAAACCAACAATAGTCTTTCTATTCAACAACGGTTGGGTACTGGAAAGCCTGCTGTTGGTAATGGGGTTGCAAATCGTTTATCCATCAAAGGAGTTGCCGGTGGTAAACAGACAGAATTCTCCATTAAGGGAGAAGGTGGTCCAGCTTCTATTTATGTAAACAACTTAGCTCCTGGCACAAGTGCTAATGATGTCAAGGTTTGTAGTGGTTCTGGGAAGCTAATCTTTCTAAAAATTTTTGCGAAATCAATTTATTTATAAATCTATTCTCCTTTGACAATTTCTCTAGACTGCCTTCATGGAATTTGGTGATATTTCGACGGTGAATATCAAAGATGACAAAGTTACTCGTGGGGCTGTTAGTGCCGAATTGACTTTTGCAAGCAAGGCTTCTGCGCTTGCTGCCATAAACAAATATAATACAGCTCTTGTTGATGGTATAATGCTGTTTTATATATTACATTAATATTTATATCTTTTAAATGTAAGAGAGCTAATAGAGAGATATGTTCGGCGTTTATCTTTTATTTATAATAATCTATTTTATTAGGTCGAGTCTTAAAGGTTCAACTGAAACAAGCCGGTTCCAACAATAACGTTGGTGCTGCATCATACCGGCTCAAAAATAAGCCTAACAAGGCTCAATATTCTTCACCTACACAGTAAGTATTCAAATCTTTTGATAAATCATTATTTAATTAATTCCTTCAATTAAATTAAAATTTTTTTTTTTTATTCCAAAAAAAAAAAAGAAGTGGAAAACTCTATTCTGATCATTTAGTATCTGGAAATTCAGCTGGTCAAAAAAATCGACGTATTTCTGGAAAAGGAAAACAACCGTCATTTACTTCTGCTTCTTACTAATCTCGATTTACATTCTCGTTGTCGACGACTTTACATTTGACGATTTTCTTTCAAAGTGGGAAAGTATAGAAAATCGTTAAATTAAAAAAAAAAAATCCATAATTCGTTGGTTTGTGGATGGATATGCCCTAAACCTGGCGGCTTCCCTATTTTTTTTTTTTTTTGTTTGCTTTCTCTTATTTCTATTCATTTCAAATTTTTTTTTTTTTTTTTCGAAATTTATCTTATGTAATTTTTTATATCAATATTAGCTTTTTTTTGCTTACAGGTATATTTAGAATAAAGCCAAGTCGCAATGATATATAACATTATCCCTTTTTTTTTATTCAAAGAGAAATTTATCATCCAATTACAACCTTGATATTTATTTAGAACCAAAAACTCACACTAAAACTTATGGTCAATGACCGTACATAATGCCACCATCCTGGCTTTTTTTTTATGATTTTATTTTTTGAGATGTAATTTAAGAGTTGAAAGAATCAGCAAAAAAGGAGATAATAATATAATATCATATTAATAATATAATATTAATAAATATTAATTTTAACTCACTGGAATATACAACAAATCTCCTGGTTCCAGAACGCATTCCAAATAATTAGCAGAAGCAAAAAGTGGGAAACGTTCTAAATCTGGAGTTTCAATATTAACCTTTATTGAATGACAGATATTGCAGAATTACTAAGATAGAAAACATTATAAACACGAAAAAAAAAAAAAAAAGACAAACCTGACTGGTATTTCCTAAAAAACTACCTTGTTCAAAAGGATATACTTTAGAAGTTTCAAAAGGCGCATATAATCTAATATATTTCTGTCCAACTACTTGAGCCAGAAGATTATTATATGGATCAGTATGCATGGGAGAAATCGTTCCTCGGGGACCAAACCATGCATTTATAATAACGTCTGGAGGAGGATTGTATTGAATGTTATTTGATGATACAAGATAAGGTTTAGTATCAACAAAGCAATAGTCAGGAATTGATATATCTTCTTTAAGGCGTGGAATCTGTGCGAACAAATCATGTTGAGCTAGATAAGCAATTCCCTCATCCTTAATTGGGTTTTTGACCCGATTCTCCACAAATTCTTCAAATTTCATCAATTTCTGTGACCATGAGTCATCCGTATATTTTGCACCAATTTCAACCGGAACGATCCTTCCTTTTCCTGTAACGCTCAAAAGATAATCAAGATCCGCCCAAGGGTTGGTTGAAAGTGCTGGCCAGTGTGAAATACAAGAGGTAAGTATAAAAGGTGTGGGATTCGGTGTGTTAATATGTGAAGCAAATGCAACTAGACTAGGAGATGACATTTTTGATATGGGAAATCTTATAATTGGCATATTTTCAACTTTATTTTCTAATTTTACGCGTTTCTCAAACTTTTCAACATCTTTATCAATTTGACGTTTCATCGGAAATTCAGCTAAAGTAATAAAATCTTTTTCATATTCAATGTCCTTCATGATCTTTTCCACTTCCCCAATTAGATTGAAAATCATTTCTTTTCTATTAATTCCGGGTGCCCCCGTCATAATCAATGCCATGTCTAAAGTTTTAATGATTTGTTTCCATGATTCTATTTCGTTCTCCTTTTTCAATGTTACGAAAATTTCACATAAGCTTTTTATGAGACTCGCATCAGTATATAAACGTCTCCAACAAAGAGGTACATCCTTGTATGGATACGAGTGTAATTTTTCAGTAGCATAATCAACAAGTGCTGTTGCTTTCAGTAATACCGATAACATCCCGTCAGAATTGACCTGACAAACTGTATTTAAACACTCCTGAAGCAAGTAAAGGGAGGATTTATCACAATTAGTAAGATCTAGAAATGGTTTATTTGGAGATAAAGTTAGTTTTTTGACCTGTCCGCTTGAAAAATTTTTGCGTAATCTTTTTTTTTTTATACCATTATCAGAGTTTTTTAATCTTTCAACAAGTGCTTCACAAGTCTTTCTAATTGTCGCTCTTGACATTATTATTAATAAAAGATGATAAAAAAATTAAAAAAAAAAAAATTTGATTTGATTATAAACGGACCTTATACCGGTTTTAAATTCCGACATTCCCTCCTAGAAAAAAATAAAAGACTACTTTCGTTCCGAATAAGATTGAGGGTATCGTGCCACCAAGCACTCAAAAAGAAAAATAGGTAATAGGATGATAGTTGAAAATTCTAATTATTGAATGAAAACCATAGCGTCACAAACATGGCGCAGAATCCACTTGCTGAAAAGGACAAGACCTAATAGAAACACGGAAACTTCTTTATAAATATATATATACTTTCACTTTTTCGTAAAGGAAACTGAAATTGCTGAGAGCTGTGCCATTGATCATTCAACGTTCTTTAATTGCAAAGCATGAAAAAATCTAGGCTTCAAGCAATAGTATTTGTAATCAAAATTCTAAGAAATAAAACTTTGTTTGTGCTGACAAGTAATTCTTCATGGTAAGACAATCACTCGGAATATTCCTTTGAATTATTTTTTTTTTTTTTTTTTTTTTTACAAGAATGAAGACCCACCTCTTGGCTGGCAATCGTTGGTCACTTTTCTTGGCCAAAAACCTTCAATGACTCGAATCATAGTTGATTTATAATTTTCAAATTGGACCCTTTGCAATAGAAAGGAAAAATTAAAATTGGATTAATATGACAAAATATGTTCTTTCTTGCTAAAGTACATTTGAATTCAATATTAACTCATTCGATTTTTCCCGGCAGGTTCCCATTCTCAATGGAAAAGGCCCATATAATTAATGATGAACTTGTGAAAGTATTTAAGTGAACGAGAAAGTTGTGGTAAAAAATCATTGTCAATTTGAAATGTAAAAAGCGCCTATAAAGTATTATGATAATATAATCGCAATGACACCAATGCTATTGTAACCTTGGAATCCTTCATCGAATAAACCTCAATACTTTTTTCGTAAGAAGGCTTATTTATTTTTATTTGAAAGATAATAAATATCAACCTCAATTTGACTTAGTATTGTCATTTTATATGGGTATAATTAAATTATAAAGTTAGATTTGGACAAGTGAAAAAGAAGACGGTGTTGTAATGGTGAGTGAAAAGGTGTTTAATTATGATTTTATTACATATACTTTTGTTAGGATGTTAATTGGCTGGCAACTTGAATTATCATTTAGTAAAGCCAATTCGGATAATAAATAAAAATTAATTTTGTTTCATTTAAAGAGCCAATCCTGAATATAAATCTCGTAAACCTATAACTTTAAAAGAATTCAAAGAAATTAGGATGAATTGAGCATTCAAATAAATGACAAGATTAATAATTTATGTGACCGAAATTAAACTTTATTTTATTTTATTTATTTTATTTTATTTTTATAATGCAAAATATAATAATTTTTTTCTTTATTACCAAACTAGCGGGGATCACTAACGTGACGTGAAATAGAGTTAATAATTACGATTTAAAAAATTTTTGCATATATAAATATTTTTTTAGAACGAAAATGGTCGCGTTCCTGTCTTTTTATTTGATCCCTTAACCCATTAAATTTTAACATACTGTATTAAAAAGTGACCTTCCCAAAGTATCCGACTCTATTTGTTTTGTTTCAACTATCACAACTTCTTTCCACCATATGCAGTCGACTTCATTTCGATTTAGCAAAGAGCTCCTTAATCAAGTCAGGGACTGCCTACTTGCGTTCCAAAAGGAAAATATGGAAGCGAACGAGGATATAAAGCCAATCATTATCAAGGAAAATGTGTCACGCGAGGCCTACATCAAGTATCTCAGTATTGAGCGAAAGCTCCCTGTTAACATTCGTTTGATCAATGGAAAAATTATAGCTTACGAAGTACCTCTCTCATCACATG